CGAGCAAATCCTTGCTCATGTAAATGACATCTTACCAGAAGTGAATTGTCATTGTGCCTCAGGAGAGACTTGGACATTAATACTCCAATCCCAGTCTTCATATGTGAGATCCTTCCGCAGCAACCCGTCGTCTCAGTCCAAGGATTATGCCAACGGCAAAATTTCTGGGATAAGAATCGGCTGGCAATTTATGGAGGCCTTGCGCGCATTGCAGGTGTACGGCACTACTGTCAGCATTCGTTTTCTTCAGCAAGAGCCGCCACGAACGCAATTATGGCCATGGTATGTGTTTTAAACTATTAAGTAGTCCGTGGTAGCTAGATGAAGTTGAAGCTTCTGGATCATGTGACTCTACAGGGACAAAGCACGCTCCTCATATGAAGGATTGATCTTTTACAATATGCAAAACTTGGTCTTGAAGTTGAACTTAAATACAAGTCCAGTCGCTTATTGCTTTCTCTCATAGGAGGATCCTCGGCCAGCATCCCCGTCCCAGTGTTGCTCCATATCCTTCATAGTGATAGTATGAGAAACCCATCGCCATATGTTGTAACGCGGGGGTCGTAGTGTACGCGTGACAACTTCTGAGAGGTAAACGAATGCCCCTGACCTTGACCACGTTGCTTCCTAGGAATCGTAGGCTTCTAAGATAAAGCGAGGAGCCGAAGGCGAAGCTGGTTCCTCGTCAGAGTACTCATTAGCGGAGATCACGGCAAGCTTCGGACTCGTGCGGAAGGGAAAGGTGAAGCTAGATCCAGGCGCGATAGCAAAAGCGATGAAAACGAGCCCCATCATTATGTGACGCAGCATCAACTTCATTTGCGGGAAAACTAATACCCTTGAAATGGACAAGGAGCCTGCGGCGCCTGTGGCAGTGCTGTGGAAAGAGCTCCAATAGAATAACATCCGAAGCGTGCTGGTGATTGTTTTTTCGTGAACCCTTGCAGTAGTCGCCAGGCTTGTGTCCTTCGTACCCGAAGAAGATCTAGCTCTAGCACAGCGGCACAGCGTCATCAAGCAGCATTTGTGCACGCCACTGCTTGCGATATTCATTCTATCTATCACAAGGAGGAACCTGCTCACCAGAGGAGCCCGTAGATTCTGTCCTGATGCTCATAGCTAAAATTGTTCTGGGAATTCAATCAAGCGCGGCCACTCCTTGTCTTTTGAACTTCCGCATGCGCATCGAGCACGTGCAAAATTCACTTTCTGACGCAGACTCATAAGTACTCGCCACGCCCACAGCGTAATCTCCTTACTTCCCCCGCGCTAATAAGAAGTAACCCTGCGACACAATCATAGTCATACATCACTTATCAGCATCAACGTCCCGAGGTGAGAGTAACTTTAGAGCTGGAGCATGAATATAAGTGACGGATGCGCATTTTTGGTGGAGGCTCGCTCTTGCAAGGGCCCGAGGGATTTTGAGAATAAAGGCACGCCGTTGTTTGCGAAACAAAACTACTTCAACTCTTATGCAAATATCCTCAAACTCAGACGATAGAACGCAGAGGAGCAAGAGTAGCGTAATCATATAATTCCCCGTTAACGTTATAAATTGCAGCAGTGACGTGTGAAGATCATGTTCGCTGCTGAGTTGTATCATTTGCGATGAACAATGTTGAAGTTGATGCGACGACCTGTACTTTACCAGAAGTGACGCCCCGTCGTTCCTTTGAATCGACACTCTAGGAGAAGTAGCTGTCTCTCTTCCCTCGTCTCTTAGCACCTGAGCCGCAGGTCTTGAGAACTCTGATATTCGAAAACACAGTCCCGAAATCTCAAAACCGTTCGTCCTAAGACGCAAAAATTTTGGGTATACTTTTTTCGGTATCAAAAATGAGGAAATTCTGCACAAATAGTGGCGCCGTATCTACTTTATTCTTGATTTATCGACTTACTTGT